GGGGAAACCCCATCTCTACTAAAAATACAAAAAATTAGCTGGGCATGGTGGTGGCATGCCTGTAATCCCAGCTACTCAGGAGGCTGAGGCAGAAGAATCATTTGAATCTGGGAGGTGGAAGGTTGCAGGAGCCAGGATTTCAAAGATCGTGCCACTGTACTCCAGCCTAGGCAAAGGAGGGAGACTCTGTCTCAAAAAAAAAAAAAAGTATGCATGGAAGTAGAAGGCTCCAGATGATGGGCCTCACATGGGAGCCTACATAGGAGGGCACTGACCCCAGGAGGTGTTTCCTAGCTCTGCCACTGACCTGGGCTCACTGTTGCCCCATCCCATGGCCATTCAGAAGGAGGACCCTGCAATGGATTGGTTGGCTCTCATGATCTGTTCTATCTCTGGTTATTAAACTTGAATTTAGGACTTTAAATTCTCTTTAAACTGAGAAGAAAACATGAATTCAGAAAGCTTCTTTCCATAAAAAAGTGTTTATATTTTATGATAAAGGTTGGCACCCACTATGCCCTAAAGAGTCGCACTTGTCTTGGCTTCTTGTCCTCCTTCTTCCTGATGAATTGCTTGACACTTCCCTGATCCTGCAGTTCTTTTTTTTTAAGAAATAACATTTGGTTCTGGTCATGGAGAAGTTATGCTTTGCTGATTTAAGGCCATAAAGAATATAACAGCAAATTTAAATACTTTCACATTCTATAAAAGCATGAGTCTTGAAATAACAAATGTTAACATAGTATACTTGGCATAGTCTTATAATAGAGTTTTCTTTCATCATCAGTGGTTCAGTTGCTATTTATTTTCTAATTTTCTTTGTAACTTTAAACCTTGTATTCAGTTATAATTTTCTATATTGCTGGATCATGTTACATTTGAACTATACCTTAGGTTCAGATTTCAATGGATTAACTTTATATAGACAATTAGAAACATACTTTTTCTAATCTGCATTTCAATGACCATGCATTGATTCTGTGAGGTAGACTTTATCAATACATTTGTGTTGTCTTATTTTAAATACAAAATAAACATCTGTACAATACAAAAAGACTGTTTTCATGAGACTTCCAAGAAGACTTAAATTTTGGCAAAGTGGCAGGTGAGAGTTCAGGGGTACTTTATTCTTTGCAATTCAAAACATAAATTAGGATAATTGTTTTAGAAAAAGCTTAGAGAAAGACATGTGCTGATAAGTTTGAGCTCTAATTAAGCAAAAAGCTTTACAGCTCATGCTTTAATTCAATTCCAGGTATTCTCCCCTTTTGCTAGTCAACACTGACACAGATCTGCTACTTTAAGATCACTTGTATTATCCCTTCATTTGGGTTTACAACTTGGGTTTAAACATTAGGTGAAGGAAGACAATAAAGGATAGTTTTGAATTTACACAAGTAATTTCAGAAAGGACCTCGGCAATGTTTTTCATTCATTTTCTACTCAGGTCTCCTTAGCGTGGCAAACTGAAGGTAAAACAACTGAATTTAATGTCTTTACCCACAAAAAATCATTTTAGGGCTGTTATAGTTCACTCACTGGTATGTCATTCTCCCAGCCTCAAATTCCGGAGGGCTCCTCTTTTTCCCTCTCCCTCACGTTCTGTATCCAGACAATTGTTAAATCCTGCCCACTGGTGCTTTAATTCATCTAGAATGTATCCTCTCTTTTTTCTCTTGTTCTCAACTTGAGAAGGCACTGTCATCACCTGGGGAGCTTCATAAAAATTTACAAACAGGGCCGTCCCCTCAAAATTTGAAAAGATGTTTGAGGTGGGTCCTAAGGAACCTTCATTTCTAACAAGGCAACCAGCTAATTTTGAGGGGCCTTCCACAAGGAGGCCTGAGAGGATGGAAAATAGGAGCCAGTTTAATAGGGAGGAAGCCTGTTCCAGATAGCAGGGGCAGCAGGCAAGTGGACTGGGAGGCTGGGGAGTGGGGAGCAGAGAGCAGGAGATCAATCTGGGTCTCCCAGGCCTTAGGAAAACAGCTCTAAAACCCACCAAACCCATAAGAGAGTGTGGTGAGACCAGTAGGCATGTGGAATCAGACAAGTGGAATCTGAGGTACCCTACATCTCAGTTGAAAACATCCCTTGGAAGCAGGAAATGAGGGTCAACAGCTGAGGAGAGGGATCTGTGCTGTATTTGATAGTGAACTTTCTTGGGAAGAGTCTGTTAATTGGAATGAGAAGGGAGTCAAGATGGAAGTCCACTTAAAGAGTGACTGTGCAAGATGAACCTGCAGAAGAGACAGGAGGAAGAGAGGAAAGTGCTGTAAAAGTCAAGAGCAAAGGGAATTTTAAGAAAAAGGAAGTGGGCCAGGTGCGTTGGCTCATGCCTATAATCCTAGCACTTTGGGCGGCTGAGGCGGGCAGATCACCTGAGGTCAGGGGTTCAAGATCAGCCTAGCTGACATGGTGAAACCCAGTCTCTTCAAAAAGAATACAAAAATTAGAAGGGCATGATGGTGGGTGCCTGTAATCCCAGCTACTCAGGAGGCTGAGGTGGGAGAATCACTTGAACCCCAGGAGTTGGAGGTTTCAATGAGCTGAGATCATACCACTGCACTCCAGCCTGGGTGACAGAGCAATACTGTGTCTAAAGAAAAAATAAATAAATAAAGAGGAAGTGGTTGACTATATCACAGTCACTTGAGAATTTCCTGTGCCCTGAACAGGGCAGGTATACAATAAATATTTTCTGAACTGAACAGAAATCCTGCCCAGGCCAGGGAAGGCAAGAAGTATGTATAGAGAGGCTGTGGGTCCCTGTGTGACCTCAGCAAGGGCAGCCTTAGAGTGGTGGGGGAGTGGGCCGATTGGTTGAGGAGGGATTAAGTGGCAGGAGAGTGTAGACAGTGTAGACACTGAATAAACACCACCGAACAAGGTAAGGGGAGAGGTGGGATAGTAGTTGAATGGGGAAGCAGGGTAGGGGGCAAGTTGGAAGATGGGAGAGTGGCAAAGAAGAAGAAATGTGACCTCCTTCCATCTGTGGGACATGGGCTTTTACTACCTGAGCCACTTGTATGTAGTTTTAATGAAACAGCTCCCCAAATTCAATTAAGATACCAGTTGTATTCATATCCTACCCTACTAGTCACCCAAGTGAATATCATCATCCAATAATGAAATACCTCTAAAACAACCAAAAGCTGGAGGGCTGGGGGTTCAAGGAAGGAAACATAA